TCTTATAAGATTGGTTAATTGACTATAAATTGTCTTTGCATCTTGGCAAAACAGAGTCTATTCTTTTTTCTTTAAGTTTCAACTTAAACTGGGCCTAGCCTCCAGGTCACATGTAATGGTACTGCTATAAAATACACATCTTTTGTTAAGTATTTACGTGCAAAACTTGATCAAATTTTTTTGGCGTCGCCTTTGATGCTTTGCATCAATGCTTTTCTTGTATTACACTGAAATAAGTAGATAAAATGTGACCAAGGTAATGCCGATTTCGTGAATGATGCACCGAAGCAACTATGGTTATCTCATAAAAGCATTGTTTACATAATATCAAAACTAGTAGTTTTGCAAATGTCCAAGGTATACTGAATATGTAAAATGTAGTCTTAACTTATTAATTTTAACGAAACACATAAGTCGCTTTTAAAACGGTAGTCAGGTTCGTCATTCTCACGGACGATCTAAAAAGGTAAACATATTTATAAGAAAACAAATAATACTGGTTAAATTATAATGTCCTAGCAGCCGTATGCGCTGATTTATGTCTTTTAACTTAAATGAGGATAAAATATGGTGGCCGGTTCGCTCACCATGTTACTCGTTTTGGCTATATCTTGCAGAGATTCGGCGTTACTGGATATACACGGTGTGTTATCTGATTGGTCTGCAAATTACAGCAAACCAGAATTTACCTGACAAATTTTTAGGGCTATCATTTGTTTACATAACTACCCTAATAATATGTTACGGTTGATGAATAAGTTTAAGAAACAACATTACCATTTCCTGCAAAAGATGATGACAATAACTAAGTATTACAGAGCAATTTAAATTAAAGAATCAAAATACTACTGAAAAACTAAACATATTTATACTATGTAAAATGCAAAATTTACATGTATCTCATTAAATTCAAAGGCCAGTGTGAGTGATAGTATATTAACCAATCTCTATAGATTGTATTTAACTTTATAACAGAATCTCAGAGTTAGAGTCGGTAAATTTCACGATTTCGTGAACAAACATGGCGTTGTCCATATGGCTAGTAGGTAAATTGGCAAAACAATCTTGCCCATTAATATTTACTCATATCCTTAGGGAATTTTATGAAAATAAAATTGTTTATCAAATCTAGAATTTGAATAACATAGTGGAACACAACAAGGAAAATGAGATTTTCCCTGTAAGTTTAACACGCGTGGTTTATCAGGTCAGACATTATGTGTTTACATTCATGCCCTGTAAGCCTCTCTCTGGTGATGGAATGTAAAGTATGCATATAATTTGAGAAAGGCCTATTATTCCAGTGCATTTGCTTCAAATTCCTTCAAACATTTTCTTTCCAGGGATACTTGATACTTCGACTAATGCCTATTTGTAACAAACGCGTTGATAACATGGCTAAAATAGCTTTCTGTGGAATTCCGGTGGTAATCAGATCCAGTAGATCTGAACTTTAGTCATATTGGACTCTCTTTGTGAGCAATTATTCAGCATTACATATTTATATCATTTAGCATTATACAATACCATGCTGTCTAAGTAAGGCAATATGCATGATATTATATGGGACTGTCTATGTAAGGCAATTAAATATAAAATATAAAATATTACAAAGATGTTTATGTAAAAAAAATTGACAGAATATAAGGATGGCTATGTTGTACTCGTGATACATTATAGAGTTAGCACCGGCTTTATCAAGATTCAACATTTAAAAATTAAAATGATGAAATTTTAAATTAACAAAAACAACCGCAGATGCGGTCACACGTCGGTTGATATGGACTCTTCAATGTGACACTCTTGTGCCATTCAATTAAGAGCGGCAAATGGTCACGAAGTAAAGGAAAGCATGAACGAAAAAAAAAAAAAAAACGAACTAAATTGAAAGAATTTTACAATTGGGATCAAAAGATATGAAGACCGCATATTACAGATAAGTCGTCAAAAAGACATTTTTTTAAAAATCAGGCACCGTGTTCTTGGGGTGATTATACAGTGTTCAAGGAATAATAGAACCACCGAAGTGGGAAAATGTCACATATAAGGAACTAAAAATACCACACACGTTTACCCACTACAACAGTGTCGTCTTCAAAGATAGAAAATGTAACATCTTCGCTATACGGGGCAATTCTTTACTGATAGGTCAATAAAATAGAGAGAAAAAAATCCATAAAGAACGCCCGAAAAGACAGAATTGAAAATATTGCTGGCTCGATTTGATTGATTTGATTGAGGGTTAGTACTGAAAGAAAACAACAACAAAAATAAAATGCAGTAAATGTAGGGATGAATAATTCTGTGTCAACATCTTATTATTGACAATGTTGCACGGTGCCTAAAAGTACACACGTGGAAACAAGAAAGTCATATTAAATATACAAAAAAAACAAGTTATTAAAGTGATGTTACTTGTTCAAACGACAATAATGTTCATATTTCTATCGGATTCGGATTATACATTTCGTAATCAAAGCAATAACTTTCACAGTATGTTCCGTTTTGAATTAGTTAGTGAAGCATTTTGTATGTATTTAAGAATAATAAGTTTCAAATTAAATGACACATTTGATAGATTGATGACTTTACATTATTCAGGAAAAATTATCATCTGTTTTCTCATATGTAGACTTGACATACATTTTGTATGACAGAAAGATACGGTGTCTCGGTCAACAGTAATATATTTGTTAATGGCTTGAGGACACTTCCATGTTAAATATACTGAAATAACACATATACAATGTAAACAGAGAAATGAAACTTTACCTGTGTGCATTAATTGATAAATGTTTAAATGACAATCATCAGCCATTTGCGATTTATATATGTAGGTTCAAAAAGATCTTCATGGAATTTCAAGCAAAACAACATGCCATAAGAAGCTTTAAGGGAATTTTATATATCATGGAGATGGCTAATTGGCCATTAGTTTTGTCTTTGATGTTTGTGAAAACTGATTATCATCGTTTGTAAATACTTGTACATGTGATATCTTTCAAAGTAATCGATATATTGAGTACGAAAGCACCTACGTGATCTCTAGACGTTTATGTTACAAATACTACAAATTTCTTAGTAGTCAACAAAAATCTGTTTTATTGATGTTTTTCTAGATATAAATGATGTTTCAATGCATGATTTCCTTATAGAACAGACACCACAAATGGTTAATTAATAATGTACTTTAAAGAATAGTGCATTAAGAAAAGAAAATCTGCACATTCACTGCATGCAATCTAAAGCTGTTTTTCTATCTTTTTATGTAAATCTTATCAAAGAGATTATAGGGTAAAATTAAGCAAATTCTGTCAATTTGCACTATAATATTATAATATATCCTGTTTTGTGAATCAGTTTTAAAGTTAAAATATCAACAATTATATATGGTTATACAAAGTTATTAACACCACTAAACTTTGTTCAGAGCTTATGTTGATTATATACATTTTACTGACTGCGAAGTAAACAGGACATTTGCAGCGTCTGTAGTTTTCCGGGACATATTTGTCTAAGTGTGCCATCATTATAGTGATGAGACTTACAGGGAGGAGATAAACTCCCGAGAATCGAGTGGATTTCAGCTGTACTCATTCTGTCTAATAGAAACCTGAAATAATTTAGCACTGGTCTCAAGTTATACTTTCTTTTCATCTTTCATCAGTACTTGTCTTTGTATATATAATTCATATCAAAATAGTGTCTGTAATTGTATTGCACTTAAAGTATCGACATTGAAACTTTGATTAATTTATTAACTAATACATGTCGTTAAAATTTAAATTTTCACTATCAGCCTCTACAAAAATATTTCAAACATGGATCAATTTTCCTCATAAGAGGTTATTTAAAAAAATACTGATAAATTTAAAAGCAATGTCTGAAATTTGTTTTTATTTTTATTATATTGATACTCAAATGTGCAGAACTAAAAAAGTAATGTCAACTTTCGTTGTCAGATAATTATTCTGGTTAAAAGTACTTCAGATATAACAATCTGACCAGTTATATGATAGTTATATTGTTATGTAATTTTCCAGTAAACTTGTCTTTCTCCTTTCCCTTTTTCCCCAAACTAAGGCACCATACATACATTTATGTACTTATCTGGGCATTTTATTTCTAAACAATAATCACGAAAAGGCCCATTATGGTTAGGTCGTTATTTTTCTTTCTCAAATGCATTTATTTCTTTGTGTGTGGTTTTAATTTCTTAAAGGTTGCTCATTGGTAAATTAGCAGATCTAATAGTATCTTTTGCTTTTGCTATTTGCAGAGAGTACAGTTATGGTGAGTAAGTGTTTTGTATAGAAGTTATCATACTCGTTTGTGTACATTTTGCTACTAAGTCTTTTAGGACAAATATTTTCATTCTAACCTCTACTTTCTTCCTGTGATAACCATATAATAAGCTCAAAAGCAATTGTCTAAATGTTTGAAAACTAATGTTTGCCCTTTCTAAAGAAGATAAGTTTATTAATTTCTAAGGCATAATGTGACGATTGCTGAAAATGTTTTGATTTGGTTGACACACTTTTTTTATTCTTACACCTCCAACTTGAAACGTTTAATATATTGTTTCATTTTACTTCTGTAAATTCTTATCAATAATTTTAACAAAAGTAAAAATGATTTTTTGTTATTAACACTTGATATATAAAGACATGGCAGTAGTTTATATTTTGCATTTACAATATCAATCAACGAAAATTATACAAGGATTATAACAACATGTAGAAAACTCTGTAATGTTAACTGATACTCGGGCCTATCAGTTAATATTGTGGTCAATGTGTGCCTGCCTGCAATTTTTATGGTAAAATATAATATTTGCATCAGCAGCCGTGTGTTTGTTTACCAACTATAGTCGTGTGATTTCATTGCCGCTACAATCCATATTCTATTAATTCTTTTAGGCTATCACAAAGACACAAGTGTTAAGTATATACAAGAAATACAGCGAATACATATCTATATATTTATATTATTTTAGGTATTGTTACAGTATGTGCAGGCTGCAAAGATATTTTGATGAAGGAAAATAAAGACTGTTTTGACGGTTATAACACATACTTGGCTAACCTAGGCAACAGTGGGGCGGATTCTTCACAAATTTTGTCACTTCTGTGCAGGTAAGGAATTACGTGTAGCATATTTCATGTGTTGCATTGTAAATTTGATCATTCTTTGGCATTAAAAAATTTAAGTCTAATAAGTTTTATAACACATAGCATTCGTGTTACATGTAATCCAATAGTTCACCAAGTCAAAATGAATGTCTAAATCTATATTTTTGTGCCACTGTTTCTCAATGTCTCTGAAAGTTTAACCGTTCATCATACTTCAGTAACTACTTCAGAATAGACATTGTACATACAACAACTTCAAACTGTACAGAGATTCTGTCAACATTTTTTCATTTTGTCGTTTTTCCACAGAGATGAGGGTAGAGCGGCAACAAATTGTTTAAAACCACTTCTAGATGAATGTAAGGAGCTTGCAGATGATGATATGTATCTAGTATTTACAGTACTTGATACAATGGGTGGATGTGAAGTACTGGAATCTCCAGGTTTGTTATTTAAATTTACTAGAAAAGAGAGTATTCATTTTGTGATTATAATTAAATTTATATCTGGCATCGTCGTCTGACTCTAAAAGTGCTCTATTCTTTTGCAAAAATGAGATTTTTAACTAGATTTTCTCTCTACACGTATATTGAAAATTTTGTTTATTATGACGTTATTGACAAAGAACATTGTGTGCTAATACTACTGTTACACAGGTAAATATGCATCTCATGTTTGCTGTATGTTTGGTACCCCGTATTATACCCACATGTAAAACATGTGTGTTTCATGTGTTTTGAAATACACGTGTTTAAGATTATGTGTTTTTCATATGTAAGATTAACATATGTATACATGACCATATGAAAAACATGTGTCAACAAACATATGTTAAACTCATGGTTATCACATATGTGAACTTTCATGTGTTTTTAGTATGAAGAAATTATGATCATATATTCTGCAAGATTTACACTTTGAACAATCTTAATTAGATTCTACATGATTTTACATAAATTCTTAAAAGATTCTTGGTTCATGCATGTATGTACAGCTTGTAAATGTAGTAAATATATGGGAAAAAAGTTGCCTTCACTTCCAATACTTCTTATCATGTTGAAAAAAATAACAATAAAATACCTTTATAAAAAAGATGAAAATAAATAAATGATAAATATCTTTTTAGAGGGATAGCTGATTATATTTGAAATTAAAGGAAGAACTGTCAGGAGAAGAAACAGTTTTTGAGTGAATTGTCAGGGTGATTAACTGGTTAGGGGGAGAATAGTCTGCCATTCATTTTTATTCATGATTTTTCTTCCTTTGTACATGTTAGTGTTTATTAAGTGAAACTTTAACAATCAAGAACCCAAAACGAAGTGACCCATAGGAAGTGACCCTGGGTTCTTAATTGTTAAAATGTGCACTGAATATAAACTAACTTATACTTAGTGTTTAAAGATCCTGTATGTTGAACCATTTAAGCGAAAGTATATATATGTAAAAGTGATTAATCTTAATTTGAGCATCATATCTATGATATAAAACCATAAAAATTTGTGTTACAGGATCTTTAAGATTTATCAATTCTATAAGTTCCAAAAAGCCTTATTTATAAAAAATATTACCGAATTTACATTTCATGAAAATAAAGGGAGGTAATAAAAATATTATTTTCTCTAAAGCCTAAGTCATTTTTTTCAATAAGAAATGAATGCATATATTTTAATGATTACATTTAATATGTACAAATGTTTGCAGTACATATTTAACATATTCTTCGATATTTGAAAATTGTTTTATTAGCATAATTATATACATTATATATAATTTCACTTAAATATGGTGTTAAATACTTAACGTTTTTTAAATTCTTCTGAATTATCAACTTCAAACAAACCAAACTACGAAACACAAATTACCGTTTGTAATGAAAAACATGATTAAAGTGAATCCATATGTGAAAAACATAAGTCTATACCATACAGTTCCTTTTCTTGGAGAAACACTGTTTCCTAAAAACATATGTTATTCATGTGTTTCCATATGAAAACATATGCAAACATGTGTTTGCACCAAATGTAAATATGGTCTAACAACTATGGATCCCAATTACTCGATTTTTTAAAACTTAATTGTCTATACATTTTAAACGGTAGAACAAATATGGATATTCCGGGGAAAACAACGTGTAAAGGCACAAGTACTGTTGATTATTTTATCTGTAATTCAAACTGTTTGAAGCAAATTGTGTCTCTCAATGTGTTAGACTTTTATCCCTTAATGTCAGACGTTCATAACCCGGTGGAACTTAAATTAAGCTTTAAATTGAGCAAATGTAGTGTACAAATGGAGAAACCTACCATAAAACTTTGGGATCGCACTAAAACAAATGAGTTTTTAAATAAGGTAGATGTTAGTGAAATACAAAACATTAATGAAGCATTAGATAACTTTGAAGTCAATAATAATTTCACTCAAGAAAAATGCTGACATAATAACTGAAACCATATCGTCATTATTTTCAAATACGTCCCGTGAAATTTTTTTTGGACATACAAAACTAAAAGATATTAATAACAAAAAAAATAACTAAAAATTCCAAACCTTGGTTTGGACCAAAAATGCAAAAAGGCTAGAAAAAAATTTTTCACACTGCAAAGCATCTTTATAAATTAAGAAAAAAAGAAATCACAAAGGAAAAACTTGAAACAAAACGCAAAAAACATATAAAGGCACGTTAAAACAATTTTATAAAAATGAGAAAAAAGAAAGTATAAGTAAATTGCGAAATCTTAAAGGTAAAGACCCACGAAACTATTGGAAAATTTTAAACAAAAAAACAAAACAAAATTGCGATGCTGACCTAACTGACCTTTATAATTTCTTTAAAAGTGTAAATTTTAAAAATGATGAAAGTGATGAAATTATAGATAGACCAAATTCTAATGAAGTAAATGAAAGTAACGAACAGATTAATGTTCCAATCACAGACAATGAAATTGAGTATGCAATCAAAACCCTTAAAAATAATAAAAAGCCAGTGGATATGACAATGTAAGTAAATGAACACCTTAAAGCAACATTTCCATGAATTGAAAACAATATATGTTAAACTTTTTAACCTAATATTAAATACCGGTATAATTCCTGAATCATGGACTATTGGTATAATCAACCCAATATATAAAAACAAAGGGGACAAATCTGACCCTGGAAATTATAGGCCTATAACTTTGTTAAGTTGTTTAGGTAAAGTATTTACATGTATTTTAAATAAAAGAATAACTGATTACGTTGAATCTAATGAAATAATTAACAATGTACAGGCAGGTTTTAGGAAAGGATTTTCTACTTCATATCGTTTATTTGTTTTGCAACACATTATTCATTATCTTAATAACAATGGAAAAGCTTTTTTGCTCCTTTATTGATCTTAAACAAGCATTTGACATAGTTTGGAGGAATGGTTTATGGAAAAAACTGATAAACTCAAATATTAATGGAAAATGTTTTCTGGTCATTAAAAATTTGTACAGTAACATTAAGTCATGTGTTAAGGTAAATTCTTGTTTTTCTATTTTTTTTCCTTGTAATATAGGTGTACGACAAGGAGATAATTTATCGCCATTGCTATTTTCACTATTTTTAAACGATCTAGAATCGTATTTTTTAAATGATAGTAACGTACATGGAATAACATTGGTAAATGGAAGTAATACAAATGAGCTTTTCTGTCTTTTAAAATTATTTATATAACTCTATGCTCACGATACGGTAATAATATCAGAAACAGCAGATGATTTACAAAAAACATTAAATATATATGAACAATACTGTGACACTTGGAAACTTAAGGTTAATACGTCAAAGATAAAAATCGTAGTTTTTTCTAAAGGTAGACAAAAAATGTATAATTTTATTTTCAAAAACGAACCTATCGAGGTAGTAAATGAGTACAAATATCTTGTAATTTATTTTAGTAAAACAGGTTCTTTTCTAAAATGTAAAAAGCATATCGCAAGCCAAGCTACAAGAGCCATGTATAGTTTAGTAAAAAATTCTAATCATCTCAATCTGCCAATAGATTTACAATTTGAATTATTTAACAAAACAATTAAGCCGATTTTACTGTACGGTGTAGAAATTTGGTGATTTGGTAATCTCGACATTATTGAGCGAGTACAACTAAGGTTTTTAAAAATTATTCTTAAATTAAAGAAGTCAACAGCAAATTATTTTGTTTATGGAGAAACCGGTTGTATGTCTCTAGCTATTGACATCGAAGAAAGGATAATATCATTCTGGTCAAAATTATGTAAAAACGACGGTGTTAACGTTAATAATAAATTGTCAATTGTTGTCTATAATAGCTTACTACACTCAACAGCTGGTTTAAGTGATAATTTGCTTAAAAAGAAATTCTCATGGTTTTTTAATGTCAAAACTATTTTAATCAAATGTGGTCTATCACAAGTGTGGTTCGACAACACATTTACAAACTCTGAGTGGCTCAAACTTTCTGTTAAACAAAAGTTAAAAGATCTTTTTTTTTAAATGAGTGGTATTCTAAAATTGAAAATTCGAGTAATAGTATGTTTTATAGAGTGATTAAAAGAACATTTGGATTTGAATCGTACTTGGTTAATTTAGATAGTTCATTACTGTACTATTTTATTAAATTTCGAACAAGAAATCATTGATTTCCAATAGAAACGGGTAATTGGTCCAGTACTCCAATTAACCAAAGATTTTGTCCTAATTGTCAAAATAAAATTGGTGACGAGTTTTGAAAAAAGTATATTATCAACGACCAAACATTTTTAAATTAGAAAATATTATGTGTACTAAAAGCAAATCTGAATTTCTCAAATTGTGTAAATTTTTTAAATGTATTATTCAAAAGATAAGAACTTAACTATTCACTGAAATACTTGTGTTATTTATATTACATTAGTTCTTAATTTGTAATTACTGATTAGCATGTTTTGTTTGTCACCTTTTGTGAGCCTTGTATGATTATATCATTTATTGTAAATTCCTCATATTTGCATGTATACATGTATTGAGAGAAATAAAGATTATTTTATGTTATGTTATGTTATGTTAAAATATATGTGGTACTTTTCTTTGAAAAAAAAAACAAACTTTTCTTCTATATGTAAGACATGTGTGTCATATACGTTTAACATGTGGTGCATATTTACCTGTGCAGAATACACGCAGCTTAAATCTGGTAACTTCAGAAATAAGTACAATTCTGAAGTATCAAAAATCTAAACATATAAATTTGTCTGAATATTTGAGTAAATTCCTGGGTACTTTCTGTTATAGTGTGTCAATGTAATAACAATATTTTAACGACACAATACCAACATAATATCAATCAAAATTATATCATTATCAAAAATAATAATATTAGCAACAATTTATCAACCTATCTTAACATGAAACAAAATCGAAGGTAGTATCGATATAATGGCAACAAAATATTAACATTATATGGACATTTGATCAACATTATTTCAACATGATAGCACCCCAGCTTCATACTTGGTCGATAGTTATATTTTTAGCCAAATAATGGAGTGAACCGATGACAAAGTATTTAACCTAATCACTTAATGATCATCTGTTTTTCAACTATCAACCAACACAGTACTAACATAATGTCAACACAGTACCAACATAATGCCAACATAGTACTAACATAATGTCAGCACAGTACTAACATAATGTCAACACAGTACTAACATAATGTCAACATAGTACTAACATAATGTCAGCACAGTACAAACATAATGTCAGCACAGTACGAACATAATGTCAGCACAGTACGAAGATAATGTCAACATTTTATTAACATAACATCGATAGAATTGATCATGAATAATAATATCGCTTAAATGAGCACATTCAAAATTTATGAAAATAGAACATTCTTTTTTTACGTTTAACCTGTAAAGATCCTGTAACTCAAATATTTTATGGTTTTATATCATAAATATGATGCTCAAATGAAGATTTATCAATAGTGTTACAGCTGTAGTTCCAAAAATAATTATTTGTAAACGTATTACGGAATTTGCATTTCATGTAAATAAAGGGTTGTAATTAGAAATTTATTTCCGATAAAGTCTAAGTTAAATTTTTCAATAAGAAATGAATGCATATATTTTAACGATTTCTAAAAATGCGTTTAAACATTTGCAGTACATATTCTTGGATGTTTGAACATTGTTAAAGAAGAATAATTTTACACATATGTAATATTTCACTTAAGTGGTGTTACATCCTTAATTACAACATACAAGATCTTTAACGATTTTCTTTCAACAGAAGTTTGTTTTCCTTCTTAACACTTTTTAATGTACACAATGTATAGATTTATTTTATCGCTCTTATCGTACCAACTTCTCGTTTTATAATTTTTGTGTTGTCTGATTTGTAGTCCTTTTTATTTTAATATTTATAAGCCGATCTTGTTGTGCTTTATTGTTATTTGAATAAATATTGTTTGAAATAATTATGCTAGAAACCATTGGTGATGTCAAAGGCGAAGTGCCCAGCGGTGGTACCGAAGTTGTAAATGAAGTCGAACATGACATCCCAATTGATACAACACTGTTTGCCAAATTACTAGAAGAAAGTAAAGGAGTTTGCAGGTAATGTTCATAAATAATCCATTGGTTGGATTTATCAATGATACGATCGCAAAACTAGGAGTCGCAGGTTCATTGCACCTAAGCTATTGAGATTCTTTGTAAGATTAAATAAATAGAAATGTGGTGTGTAAAGGGGAGGGGGTATGCGTTATTTGAGCGGATTAAGACATTGTTTATAAATAATCTGCCATCTAAATATGTTAAGTGACTGAATATATCACATTACAAGCATGAACCAAGATTGATCGGTCCCTATGATTAATCATCATTCCAGTGAGTCATTTAAAGGTTAAAAGGGCTGAAATTGTATAACTTTTTAAGCGTTTAGATGAAAAAAAAAAACAACACAAAAAACCACACACACAGCATTGTTTAACTAACATAGCTTGTTCATTTCTCAAATTCACATAACATGTCTTTATTTAGTTGAAACCAAAGACGAAAAGGTTTCTGTTTCATATATATTTCTAATAAATAAACAAGATATCATGTATCTTAACATTGATGAATGTATTGATGAATGTATGTCTAAGGCAAATGTGTATTTCTCTATTACCTCTGTCTCGGTAAAAAAAGTTCAATTCAATACTTTACATACTTACTTTACAATTTAAGTGTATCATTGAGTATCAAAAGCGGTAAGAAAATGGTAAATTGATACATTTTATCTTCAGTGAAGTCTTATGCAAACGTCTTTGAAAAAAAACATGAGCCGTCGAGTAGCAAGAAATGCAAGAGTTTCGTCTGTAAAGGTATTGTACAACGCAGACTTGTGAAAATAAGCAAATGTTTCATTTACACATATCATGAAAACATCAACAATTTTCAAATGGTTTCAAAGCTAAGCAGCATGTTGGACACTACGCGTCCCGGACGGCCTTGAATGATTAAGCTGACGTTAGGGACATCAATGAAGAAGTACTCCGAGGACTGTTGTCGCACTAGCAAGGCATTAAACAACCTTTTAAAATCACATATAGAAATGTTTAGACAATATTTCTTTATAACCTGGTTATGCTGTTTACAGGTTCAAAGGGATTTTTCAAGAGATGTTAAAGTTCCAATGATTGTTTTTACTATTTTTTACTTGTCGCTTTGTTCGATGTTTTAAGCGTGACGTCGTTATGTTAAACCTGCGTTATCCGGGTTATTTTTTATGTATGCTATACATGTATATATATGTCATAGCTTTGACATTTGAAATGTTATATTTTTATAAAATGTTCGGAGAATTTGCAGCATATCTTGAATTGTATTGTGTTGAAGTTTAAATCTTCAATGACATTTAGTTTATGTTTTATAGTAAAAGCAGGTATTTTCTATTCAGACCTCGTCCATTCTGTCAAATGCTACATGAAACATTCAATACGTGACAAACATTGTAATGATTCATACATTTGTTTAAGAATAAACTAATATATATATATTATCCAGATTGTTACGTTAACTCACCTGGAGACGTTTTTAGTTTTACAAACAAATTCTCAAAATAAATGCACTTTATTTTACACAGCAACTGGACAGATAAGCTTCACAACACGTGCCCAAAAGTTGAAATACCAGAAATCAAATCCAAACAGATGAGGTCAAGTCAAGCTGATCTTTTGGTTAATTTTCGGACTAAACTTTTAAAATGCCAATGCCCTCACTTTCCACCAGGTAAATATATCAATACAGTAAACTGTACTTATAACGACATCGCTTATAACGATGCTGTTGCTGCGGTACCGACTCTTGTTTTTAAAATGAATTTCGTTATAAGCAGAGTTTACTGTATTTGATATTCTTGAAATCATTGGGATTTCGCATATCTTATCAGAACTGCCTCTAGCGTCAACCAAACAATATGCAATTCTGCATATTATATAAAACACAGATCATTTCTAAATCAAAGCACTTTTGTCCTACCACCAAATTATCACTGATGTCTGTACTATTTTATATTTTGAAAATATACTTTGCTCAAATTTAACACCAGAAAATATTGATAATTACACAGTCTCTTTATAAATATGAAATAAACATGTTTTGACTTCACACAAAGTAAATATGTTATGTTTAAAACTCTGCACACTATAGGTCGTCACAATATTAATATATACACGAAGGATGGAGTTCTTATGATAACGTGTAAGGATTTCGTCCAAATGTTTTTGTAAATACCGAGTAAACACTTGCCAAAAGTTTTTATTTTCATCTATAAAAAGAGAGTTTGAGGTGCTTAATTAAACTTTGATGACTAATCTTGCCTTACATATTGTATTATGTGTCAGAAAAAAACAACTTTATAGTCAATTAATCATCGCATGTATAAAATCTGGTAGTTTTGAGCAAAATTTCCAAATTACTTGCTCACTCGTACATATAGACCTTTTTCATTTATAATCTTCTTCGTTGCCATACTTAATTTATGAATTTGTTCTCGATTTTTCAAATGTCACGGAGTTCTTGTGACAACTCTGAAGATGTACTTGAGTTCTTATGATAATTTTTGTTTCCGCCAGTGTGTTTCTTGTGCTTAATTACGACACGTTTTAGCGAATCTTATTAGTGCATAACTGTGTAAATCATTATGAAGCGTAGTACGCTTATCATTTGCACAACAATTCGGTTATATAATATTGGTTTTGGGTGTATTTCACTTCAAAAGATATTTTTCTTACCTCCGTTTCTTGTGCTTTTTATCATTTTATAGAACTTTTAGCTAACGCAGATTTTGTAGACAGAAAAAGAAACTAGATGTGAGCCACGATCATTTATCTTTATTGTCTGTCACAGTCATTGATATTTATTGTCTGTCACGATCATTTATCATTATTGTCTGTCACGATAATTTATCATTATTGCTTGTCACAATCATTAATTATTTTTATCTGTCACGAACAATTATCATAATTGTCTTTTACGATCATTGATCATTATTGTCTGTCACGATCATTGATCATTATTGTCTGTCACGATCATTTATCATAATTGCCTGTCACGATCATTTATCATAATTGTCTGTCACGATCATTTATCATTATTGTCTGTCACGATCATTGATCATTATGATCTGTCACGATCTTTGATCATTATTATCTGTCACGAACAATTATCATTATTGTCTTTCACGATCATTGCTCATTATGATCTGTCACGATTATTGATCATTATTGTCTGTCACGATCCTTGACCATTATTGTATGTCACGACCGTCACATACATTGATTGTTTCTTCAGATTACTTTAAAGATGACTGTTTGAAGGATAGATTGACGACAGATCACCAATATATCAATTGCTTCAATAATGCCACAAATTTTATGAAAACGAATCTAACTTGCGAGTAAGTATCACTGATATTTCTTTCTTGGTTAAAATTGTTATGGTTATGGTTAGTTTCCGATGTTAGTTTAATTTACCTGTTTAATATAGAACAAAAGCGAAAGAAATGTAGTTCTTCGCGTTACATCGAATAGACGGAGAACTGTTGTCTCAACAGGTGCGATATCAAAACTGGTATAGCCAGTTTTTTCACGTGATAAGAGTTATTGACCGTGCGTACGTACGGTTAGTGGTCAATTCTACATAGACTCTCTCTTGGTACACGTCATCAACTACATCGGGGAGTTTTTATCATGGATCGAAATACTCATGACATTATCAAAGGACACCGTGGAGGAAAGCAGACAGTCTTTACTTCAAGAAATTGGGACGATGTTCGAAAAGATAAGTGAACAAAATCATTTTTCTGAATTTGCTAGAATAAGCAATTTAGTGGCATCATCTCAGCCAAAATTTAAAAAGAACAGTTTTGTCATAATAGTAAAGTTATGTTGAAGCTTAATGAAGCTGAGCCTAAGTTAGATAGCAGTAAACTTGAGGAGGCCAAAAGCAGTATTACAACAGGTTTGTGTTTTAGGTAAAAAAGAAAAAAAAATGAAAACAACGAATTCTACTCTATTCCATTTTAAGAAACATTTTCAATTTGCAAAAGCTTTGTTTTTATTCAGCAGTTTTAATTTCGGGATATGATTAATAAATTAGCTATTTTTTAATAGTTTTTACATGTCTAATGTGTAGACCACGTGGTCTTGATACACGTGTCATTTGTTATATTAGAGGTAACTTGTTCTGTATGAAGATTGTTTTGGCTATGTTTATTTCTAAAGGAATAATAATAATAATAATAATAATAATAATTAATAATAATTCTTCTTCTCTTATTATTATTATTATTATTAATTATTATAATAATATATATATTATAAAAAAATCACTTTGTTTCTTCTATTTTCAAATTATTTAGAGTAATGTCTTTTTGGACATGAGGACGTAAAAAAGATTGTTTTATAAGCGGATGAATATAGATGTTTTTTGCATGGTTAGCAAATACTAGTGTGGACTCACCTTTTTTTTAACATGTTTAAATAGGGGATTCATTTTTGATAGTATTACTGATATAGTTGCATTATAAACTTGCATACATATGTCAGATTTAAAACCCTTTGCGTTGGTAATGCACAGGCCGATATGAATAAGTTAGTGTGGTATCATTTATATATAAATGTAGTGATACTAAAATGGCAATAGCACGGAGTTTTCATGTTTGCTGATTGAGATATTTAAAGTATAACAAACACAGAAAAACTAAGAATCACAGTAATATACTAGTATTTGTTAGATAAGACTTCTTTTATTTTCAAAGTTTGTAAGTAAATTATGTATTATATCAATTGACTCATAAAGATTATATTATTTATAGAGATTATGTTAAACATTTTTAGTAACAGGAATATTTTTCTTTCAGCCTTGTATATTTTGTCACACCGACAAAAGATAATACAGTTGGCGGATGCTAGTGAATTGAGGTGGAGAGAAGTTCATGAGTATAAACTAAATTCTCTAGCAGACGACAGCGATGATGAAAAGAAAATGTATAAGGCTGAAGTTAAGGCAGACAGAGAGTTCAAAGCTGAGAAAAATAAGAAGTCTAAAAAGTTTAGAACCAAGCCTTACGCCAGGAGTGTACCTGCACAAGCTACAAGTCAATCCACTTCGCAGCAATCTGTTGTGCAGAAACCAGGCATATGATTTTTTGTGGAAAGCCGGGCCACTGCAGAAAAGAATGCCCTAAAATACTACAAATTGGAATAATAAGATGAGTACTTTTGTTTATTTAATAACCATTGCGATATGCTAGACAGTGATTCATTGAATCACAATTACAGGGAACAAATAAATAATGAGGCAATTAGTTGCGATTCGAACCAAAATAATTTAGAAAATGAAATCGTTGTATTTCCTAAAAACATGTTTAAGTCTTAATGTTTCACCTGTTTGTTATCAGCCGAACAGTGAAGGCAGAGTATCAGTAGTAGAACATTTCGAGTCTAAAAAAAGAAAAACTTAAGTGTGTTATGTCGCCAGTAGGAAAATAGAAGGCTCATATCTATCATCGGTGATTCTTTTTATTGTAGACGTTATAGAAAATGATTACAAATTGCCTTTTAGAAATATTCCTATTTAAGTAATGCTTAAAAATTATAAGTCCGCTAGAGACACTCCGTCTTTTGTTACGGCGGAAATAGAGAGTTTACTAGAAAAACATATTATTTCGGTAGTAGATCACGTGCCGGAAGTTGTAAATCCGTCGACTGTGGCTTATAATAAGGCCGGAAAAGCAAGGTTGGTTTTAGATTGTAGGCATGTAAATCAGTTTTTGCATCTGTTCAAAATCAAGTTTGAAGATGTTCTTATCGCTCAGTCTCTATTTAGTGCTGGGGTTTTGGCTTTTACTTTTGATTTGAAAGGAGCTTATCATCACATCGATATTTTTAAAACTCATAGGAAATATTTAGGATTTTCATGGAACTATAATGGTCAACAGACTCATTTTGTGTTTGATTCACTTCCATTTGGGATAGCTAGTGCAGGGGGCACTTTTCTAAAACTGTCCTAACTTAAGGTCATTAGCTCATAAGGTGATAATGTATCTTGACGATGGCATTGGTGGTCATATTAATTTATGGGAAGCATTAGAAAGTAGTGTATTTTTAAAAAGTACATTGATTAAAATGGGTTTTTTGTTGGTGGAAGAAAAGTGTCATTGGTTTCCCTGTCAAACAGTAACATTGTTAGGTTTTATATCAGATTTTTTTCAGAATAAGATATTTGTCACAGAAGAACGAATTTCTGTCATAGAAAAATCAATTGAGTCTGTCCTGTTGACAAGTGTAGTGTTCTACCGGTCCGTGTTAGCGTCTTTGGTTGGACGTTTGTTTTCTCTTTAATTTGTCTTTGGATGAGAACGAGAGAGATGTATAAATGGAATGGATACCCAGAGAAAATAATCAGATATCAGATTATTTGAGTAGATGTCTTGATTCTGATGATTGGTCAATATCAGATCGTTGGTTCAGATATTTTGATTGTATTTGGGCAATACACACAAGAGATAGGTTTTTTCTACTCATAATAACACTCATAGTGAAAGGTTTAACTCTAAGTGGTGGGTCCCAGGAACGGAAGCTATAAATGCTTTGGATCAGTCCTGGAGAAATGATAATAATTGGTAAGTTCCGCCGCCTCGGCTAATAGAAGAGTGTATAAACAAAATTGTAAACGGAAATGCAAATTGCACATTTATTATACCAAAGTGGAAATCTTCGGCTTTTTAGCCTAGCTTGTTTGGTACAAAACGTAATTTCAAAACTTACATAAGAAATGTAGAGATTTTACCCAAAAAGTGTAATAATACGTATTGGTAAAGGTAATAACGGCTTGTTTGCACACACACACCATTGCCGTTTTGTATGCTGGCACTCAAGATTAGGTTTTAGTTGTGAGTGCCAATATAGATATATTTTAATGAGACATGTACTGTATTCTATTTTACAGTATTTTATCAAGTTTATAATATTTGTCATTTTCAATTATAGGTGTTGACTTAAAACCTTCAGTCCGGAGCATGATGACCAATGCCGATGTGGACATTCAAAACATCAAACAGTTATTGATCACATGGCAGGTTAAATTGTACAATACCGGGCACTTTCTACTAGACAGAAATATATGAACTATTTTTAATATTTCGAAGGATATTGTGTCAAAAATGGTTTTGTTCTCAAGCCAGCTCCATCTATAGTTGTAGCAATGTATTTAACAAACATGTTAGATCACGGAAAGTCGTACGGTGTTATTTCTTCTATAGTGTATTCTATTACAGAACAGAATATACTTTATTGATTTAGGCCGCCACCAGCCCATAACAAAAATAACATAAATATTAAATGGATGCATTCTTTGCATGATTACGTGGATCCTACTACGAACTCAATGGTTAAACATTTATTGGAAACAAGTAAACGGGAATGTTATGAACCCGTTAAGAAGAAAGATACAATCGATTCGGAAATGTTAAAAACATTATGTGATATGTTTTCAGATTCCAGTGACGTAGTAACCTTAAGAGATCTGTCAATTATTCTTCTAGTTTTTGCTGGGTTTTTACGTTTCAACGAACTGAATTCTTTAATTTGTTCAGATATAAAATTCAATGATGATCACTTAGTGATAAACATTCGTAAGAGCAAAACTGATTTGTAAAGGCAAGGAAAATCTGTCCTGATTTGTAAAGGTACTACTTATGCATGTCCTTTTAATATGCTTAAAATATACGAAGGCAGCTTGTCTTGACGTAACCTGCAATGCATTTTTGTTTAGGTTATGTTTTAGGTCAAAGGAGGTGTCGGCGCTTGTTGTGTACCAATTAATACATGTCTCGCCTTGCAGTTGTTGTTGTTGTTTTGGATAGTGAGTATTGTGGTAAAAGTAAAATATGATCATCTCTGAAACTTAGGTTTCAGGGGAGACAACTGTTAAGATATCGATATTTGCGCTTTCACGAGTTCTTTTTCTGAAGTAACTAAGGTTATTTAGAGGTGTCTAAGATAAACGTTAAAAGATAACTCTATGTTCGGTGCCGCAATAAGTACATTTCTTACTGGTAACGGAAATGTGATCATTTAAATCATTTATCAATATAGTGACCGCAAGATGTTATGTAATTTCTTTTTTCTCACATATCCCTAAGGGGTGTTATTATGATGTTTAATAAGCATTCAAGTTTTACAATACAAATTGTATTACCGTATAAGTACTTATTTCTGCGGGCTTGATATTCTGCAATTTTTGTGAAAATGACGAAATTTCTGCGTATCTTATTTCTGCGGTTTCATCATTCTCACATTGATGCTTTTTATTTCTTCATTTATATTAAGATATTTTTACAATATTAATCACTACAAATGAACATTTCAAGATTTGTTGATGTAACATGTACAT